GGTGTCGAATAAATCCGTGTCGAATCGTACGGTGTCGAATAATTTTGTGTCGAATCGTACGGTGTCGAATAATTTGGTGTCGAATAAATCTGTGTCCAATAAGTTTGTGTCCAATAATGTGGTGTCGAATCGATCGGTGTCAAATCGTACTGTGGTCAAACGGAACACGACCCCATCATTTTACCGTACTTAAACATTTTCCACGGTCCGTAAATTAACATTTGCCAAAGATCAAGTTTCCGAATACTTTATCAACCCGCGTTTGTTATCATCATGTTTTTGTTACCGTTAGTCATAAGTTAAGTAACTCAGGTCAGAACCAGGCGGCAACCCGTAAGTTGCAAAATTAGTATTTCAGAAACTAAAACATAAAAAAAAAACGATTTGCACCATCGTCTTCAGCGTAAAATACTGCAAAATACCAGTGTGTTTTGGAACGTCTAACTATTGTTGTTAACAAACGATTGTTTAAATAATTAAAAGTATCAACTTTTTACTACGTCGTATTTTGCATCTAAGTAATAGAATGAAGGATCAAAAAACCGTTTTTCGATACTTCTTCTGATTCGTGAAATATTGAAATTGTTTATTTTTACTTATCGCCATAATTTACAACCCAATGGATAAAGGGCCTCTGTAAAATTAGGTTTTCCCGACCTGTCTTAGGTCTCGAGATATCCTAAATTTACAATATCGACTATGTGTCCTTGAACACAGTCTGTGTTAATAAACAAAATGTTTATGTTTGTCAAAATTTATCTTGACAAATTCCGGGATTTTTTAAAAACTTTTCAATTTCCCGGTGGTGGTTACTGCTGTTAGTATGATTCCTTATGTTAAGAGTTAATTTTATTATAACCCCATGTTTTTATTAATTAATTGTACATTATTATAATAGTTTCTATAATTTACGTTTTTATAATTCTGTTGTAATAATGACATTCTGCTTTGTTATTGTAACCGCATATATATCTATCGATCTGTATAATAGTTAAACAATTAGCATTATTAGCGTTTTGTAAATTAGTTCAGTAGTCTTAAATGTACAGTTAACCTTTTAATTAATATTTAGGTAATTTAGGCAAAACGTAAAATATTCTGTAATATTCGTGGGCGAAGTGTTCCCACGGCAAAGTTCGCTTGTGAGGGGCCAGGGTCACTGGCTTGGCCGGACAGACAGCCCGAAGTAGAGATAAGGCACGCGCCGAGATAAGGGACGCGTAGGACCGCGGACCGTTGGCGGCCGCGGGACCGTTGACCAGGAGCCGGTGACCGTTGGACCCGTGGGACCGTGCAGTGTCAGCGTATTTGGGACGCTATATAAACGGCCGGAGCGACCGGTCCGGACACACAGTCTGTCTCTGAGATTCGTCCTGTTCAGTTCGCTTCGCGAAAACGTCAGTTCGGAATAATTCTTTCCAGTCGGGACTTAGAATATTTAAATTTTTTCGTGTCAGAACTTAGAATATTTTAATTTTTTTTGGGACTTAGAATATTTTAGACCTAGACTAGTTTTTTTTTTGCGTCTACACTTAGGATAACTTTGCGTGCGCAGATCGAATATGATTTTGAGTTTGTTAAATGGTACTCGCGAAATTTAACGATATATCGACCGGTTGAAAAGTGCGAGAAGTGCCACTTTGCCTACATTGATTTTATCGCGGAACACACCGACAATTTTTATACGCTCCAGGACCCCACGGTGTACATACTTGACGGCCTTTCGATTTAATCCGAAACAGAAGACCCTATCCCACCTCCCGGTCATATCTTCATCCTCCGCCTCGGTAAAACCCCAGGGTTGACCAAAAAGGGAGGACGTACGTCCGGCAAGTGTAAACGGCCGCAAGACCGTGACCCGGCCTCTGGCCGTAACATACGGACAAAAATTTTGGTGGCAGCGGTCGGGATAACCCTGAAGATATCCAGGAGAAGATCGGCCAAAATCCGGAGAATTAATCACTATGTCACGCACAGATTCAGTAGAGGAGTTGACAATTGCAGCCGCCCAGGAGTACGAGCGGCAGTTAACAGAAAGAGAAGCAGCAATTCGGGCCACGGAAATAGAAGTACAGAACCAACTTGCAAGATTACAAGAAATGAATACACCACAAAGGTTCCTGGTCCTCGACGCAAGCGAGCAACCCAAGCCAATCTTCCGTCCTAGTGCGAGCTTTTCCAGAGCATCAACGGACATTGATACCTTGCGGGCAGAGATAGAATTACTCAAGCGAGAGTTAAGAAGAAATCGAATTCCTGCCGCCGATCATTTTTGGCAACTTCCTACGCCACATATGAAGCTGAAAGAAATTGTTGACACCATTCCTTAGTTCAATGGGCACAATATATCAGTATTGCAGTTCACAAGAGCCTGCAAAAGAGCATTAGAAATGCTACCAGCCCCAGTAAGCATGGAAGCGGAAGCTACCTTGGTAAGGCTAATCCGGATGAAGCTTCAGGACCATGCTTATCTTGTTGTCGAGGATAAAACAGTAACAATTATGGAACGGCTAAAGGATATACTCAAAACTGCCTTCATGCCCTGCCGAACACTTAACTCTTATCGGGGTGCTTTTGCCAACTTAACCAAGAAGCCGGACGAGCACGTGCTCGACTATATTAGTCGCACCAAGGATTTGCGCCAGGCTATCATAGAAGAAGAAGCTAAGGTGCAGCGAGAATTCTTCAATGAAAGAGACAGGAGCAGGATAGACAGTTAGACTCTGGAGTGCTTTATCAACGGATTATCATCAGAGTACCGATAACCCCTCAAGATGGAACACTGCACAACGCTCACGGAAACCTATGGCGCGTTAATAGAAATGAACCAGCAGAACAAACGGGATACCTTGCGCGCTTGTACTTAAAACAGAAACAGGACGGCCGCAGCCAACATTACACTCGCTCAACGAGCGCCTTGCGGTCTGTGCAAGAGAACCAGGCCACACAGCAGAACGGTGCTGGCACAATCAAAATAATTGGCACAGGCACGACGGCAGATTCACACCACCTAAGAAGGTTCAGGCTTAGCCACCAGTAGCAACACCCCAGAGCCACAGGTCCGATATTATTTGCACTTATTGCAAGAAACCTGGGCTCATAAAATTCAATTGTGAACTAAAGAAACAAAACGACGCAAGAAAACAGGGAAACGAGAACAGTGGCTTGACAGAGAAGGACGCCAGCCGTGCCAAAACATCAAAAGGGCGTCCGACAACCAGCACGACAATCGTCGAATTGGCATGATTCAATACCAACCTACGGTTCATGCACCCAACGTTCGCGTCAGTTCCGGATGCTTCAGGGACAGCGCAAGACTAATGCTGGACACGGGCTCACAAGTCAACGTGATAAAGGCTGGTACGCTACGTCAGGACGCGAGCATCGACTACACCAGAATCATCAAGATAACTGGAATATCCGATCAGCCAGTAGTTACCAGCGGAGTCGCTTCAATAACAATCTTTGACATGGAGGTACCTTTCCATGTAGTGACAGACGACTTTCCAATAATTGAGGATGAAATAATCGGGTCTGGCTTCATGCGAGAACATGGGGCTGCCATAGATTACAATCGCGAGGAGTTTCTGTTCAGCAATTTTCGAATCCCATTTATTATTAAAAGTACAGTGGTCGCCCCTGCGCGAGCAACAGGCACCGTCTGCGCTAGAGTGGCGAACACGGAACTATCTGAGGGATTTCTTCCACGAATACCATATTTACAAGGGATTTACGCAGGAGACGCCATTGTCAAAAACATCAAGGGTCAAACATGTTTCAACATAATCAACACTACGGAGCGAAACGTTACCGTGCTCGTTTCTGCCGTGGGCTTAGAAGATTTTCAAGTAATCAGTCAAGAGAGAAGCTATTTGCATCAGAAAAGTTCTGGGACCTCTGAACCGAACGGTCAAGTCCATCTGGCGGTAACCAAAGAATTCGCATTTGAGTCTGTTTGTTCTGTAGTACCTGTCGGTTCAAGTGAACTGCAGGGAGCTGTGTCTGTGACTGTTTCTGCGTCTGTTCCGGAATCTGTTCTTGAGTCTGCATCTGAGTCTGTATCTGAGTCTGTTATTGTATCTGAACTAACGTCTGTATCTGAAGGAAAACGTAAGGAAGAACTTGCCAACCTCTCTGATTACGCTACTGTCTCCTGTTCACCCGCAAGCGCCACCGTCTGCCGCGTGAACTGTGAACCACGTGACCGCAGCACTCGAGTAAAGCAGCTACTGAAATTGGAACACCTGAATTTAGAGGAAAGGAAAAATGTGGAGGAATTGATAAGTAAGAGCGCTGATTGCTTCCATCTGCCCGGAGAACCCTTGGGACATACGGATGTCCTGGCACACAAAATTATAACGGTGGACACCATACCTGTACATACTAAACAATACAGGTTTCCGCCAGTACACCGCGAAGAAATCAGTAACCAAACGGCTGATTTGTTGAAGAACAGGATTCTCCAACCATCTCTGTCACTCTACAACTCTCCACTGTGGATTGTGCCAAAAAAAGCCGACTCACAGGGGAACCCAAGACGGCGGATGGTGATCGATTACCGGAACCTTAACGAGAAGATGGTCGGCGACGCGTACCCGTTACCAAACATAACTGAAATACTGGACCAACTGGGGTCGGCCAAGTACTTTTCGGTGTTTGATTTAACGTCGGAGTTCCACCAGATCCCTATGGACCCAGAGGACAAACCAAAGACAGCCTTCTCGACGCCCTATGATCATTACGAATTTAATCGAATGCCATTCGGGTTACGCAACGCACCGGCAACATTCCAAAGGCTCATGGACCACGTCCTGGCCGGACTACAGGGTCTCAAAGTGTTTGTGTATTTGGACAATATCGTCCTCTACGCTTGTTCACTTCGGGAGCACGAGATCAAGTATACCAAGTTGGTTCAGCGTCTGAGGCAGGCCAACCTCCGTTTGCAACCGGACAAGTGCGAGTTCCTGAGGAAGGAAGTAGCGTACCTGGGACATGTAATCAGTGAAGAAGGTGTCAAACCGGACCCGAAAAAGCTGGAAGCAGTGAAGAGGTTCCCTAAGCCAAGGAACGTTAAAGAAATCCGCCAGTTCTTGGGATTCGTCGGCTACTATCGAAGATTCATCCCTCTGTTCTCCAAAGTGGCCAAACCACTGCCGGACTTGCTAAAAAAAGAGGCCATATTTAGCTGGACAACAAACCAGGAGCAGGTGTTCACGCAGTTGCGCGACGCTCTGTGCAAGGAACCCGTTCTTCAGTATCCAGATTTTACCAGACCGTTTAATGTCACAACAGATGCATCGGGATATGCTATTGGAGACGTACTTACCCAAGGACCGGTTGCCAAGGATCTCCCAAAAGCCTATTGTTCTAGGCTGTTGAACACGGCCGAGACAAATTACTCCACTGTAGAGCGGAAACTGTTAGCTATAGTGTACGCTGTGCATTATTTCCGCCCCTACCTGTACGGAAGGGAGTTCACGTTCGTAACAGATCACAAACCACTAGTGTGGCTTCATTTCGTCAAGGATCCCACTTCGCGTCTTGGTAAGTGGAGGGTGAAATTAGCGGAGTACACCTACAAAATCGTGTACAAGGCCGGTACCGCCAATGCCAACGCGGACGCACTGTCTCGGAACCCAGAGCTGGTAGCAACTGCTTCACCAATAACGTACGAAGCGGAGAGCTCATGCGATGAGTCTATATTCAGAGCATCTCGACCAGGGCGTGTGGGTACACGGCAAGAACTTTCTCCGCAAAATCGCTGTGGGAATTTCCGGGATTGCGGGGTATCGGAATTGTCGCCGTCCATGGAAGTTGTTCCTTTGAAGGCACTCAAAAACGAGGAAGAAAATGACAGCAAAGACGTAGTCAGTACCGAAGAGGAAGAAGGTAGCACTGGTGAAGGGGAGTACGAGGAGGAAGAAGAGCTGTTTGATCCGGTGACGGTGCCATATCACATGGGCGAACCAGAGAGGCAAGAGAAACTCACTGTTGTCGAGACCAGGGACAATCTGGTTATGAGAAAAAACAACCTGTGCGTCTTTGTTACACAGCAAGGTACACCGTGCGACGACAGCTCTCGACAGCTGCAGGAGACAGGAATGTTTCTTGACCTTGCTGACCTGACTCTGGCACGGGCACGAGTCACCACTTTCGGCACCAAGGTGTTGGTTTCTCTACCAATCAAGGAGCGAGACAGCACGGTTTTGGACCCCGACATACTAAACGCGGCCTTGGAGTCGTTACTGGACGTAGCACGAGATCTGGAGTTGTCTACAGTCAGCATGGCACGCACACCTGTGCTAGATGGCACACCATGGCATCTTATCCAGGAAAAACTATCCGGACTATTCCAAGACATCTCTTGCAAAATCTGTGTGTGCATTACTGTCAAACGGTGCACATCAGTGCGTGTAGTTCTTCAAAATAATGATATCGGACGAAGAAATTCAGGAGTTCGAGAGGTTAGATCAGAACGATTTGTTTTCTAGCAACAAT